CTTTTCCCTCCTCACTAGCAGTACTATGATGCCTAGGAGTAATTCCTTGGAGGTGGTTGCAAGAGTCTCATAGCTATTTATGAGATTGCACCCAAAGCAAGGAATTTAATGTTTGCTTCATACCTGCTTTGTGGAGACCAAACGTTATTTTACATAGAGATATCTTGATATCCGTAATCTCTCCATATAGGCTAAAAGCCTGGCATTAAATTCTTCTGTACACACAACCTTCTGCTTAATTTCAAATAATAAAATAGTATGATAATAAATTAATAATGAATTTAAACTAATAATGACACTAAAGCAATATCATACAGCTGTGGAAAAAAGTATAACATCATGTAAATAATTACAACTAAAATCAATTCATATATACAGCAGTCCAATACAATCCTTATTTAAGAGAAGGCAATAGTAACCATTGTGTCTTTAGAGAACATTTAAAGGTCTGCTGGGTAATAGTCAGGGCCTACTTACAAGAACCTCTAGTACTAGAAGATGAAGTCAGATCAGCACTCCAGTCATTAACCTAGTTAGAAGGCTACAGGAACTGATGGAATACCCACAGAAATATGGCCAGCAATTGAAGAAGAATCAGTCTAGGTTCTAACCAAGCTATCCCAGCAAAACTGGAGAATGACACAGTGGCCAACAGATTAGAAGAAGTCAATCTACATTCCAATACCAAAAAAGGAGACTTAACAGAGTGTGCAAACTATTGTACAATGTCCTTAATTTCATATGCTAGCAAAATAATGCTCAACACAGATTAGAGCCCTGCATTGATAAAGAGATGCCAGACATTTAAGCTGGTTTTAGAAAAGGCCAAGGAACCCGAGGCATTATCGCTGGTGCATGCTAGATAATTGATAAACCAAAAGAATACCAAAAAGAAGTCACTATGTGCTTCATTGATTATAGAAAGGCCATTGATTGTGTTGATCACATCAAGCTGTGGAATGTGCTCAAAAAAGTGGGAATCCTAGAATATTTTATTGTCCTCATGAGAAACTTATACTCAGGTCAGGAACCCAGAGTACAGACAAAACATGGCAAAACAGATTGGCTCCAGGTTGGCAAAGGAGTACTACAAGGCTGTATACTCTCCCCTTATTTATTCAAACTATATGCTGAATATATTAAGGGAAACTGGATTGGAAGAAGATGAGCATGGTTTTAAAACTGGAGGAAGAAATATCAATAACCTGCACTATGCTGATGACATTACCCTGATAGCTGAAAATGCAAAGGATTTGCAAGCTCTAGTAATAAAAGTCAAGAAGCACAGTGAAAAAATGGGACTAAAATTAAATATAAAGAAGACCAAACTAATGACAACAGGTAGAACAACCAGACTTAGAAGTGATATTGAAGTGGTGAATAGCTTCTATCTTTTAGGATCAACAATCAACAGTAAAAGAACAAGTAGTCAAGAAATACGCCACATACTAGCACTTGTTAGAGCAGCTCTGAAGTCCTTGGAAAAGATATTCAAATGCTGTGATTTGTGCTGTGATTTGTCTATACTTACAAAGATGAGAACTGTGCAAGCCAAGGTATTCCCTGTGTCACTCTATGGAAGTGAAAGTTGGACTTTGAAGAAGCAAGATAGGAAGAGTATTGATGGTTTTGAACTTTGGTGTTGAAGAAGATTCCTGAGAACACCTGGACAACCAAGAAAACAAACAAATGGATCATCGAACAAATCAATCCGGAGTTCTCTCTGGAGGCACAAATGACGAGGCTCAAATTATCCTACTTCAGATATATTATGCAAAGACCCTGGACTCTGAAGAGGGCTCTATTGCTGGGAAAGGTGGAAAGAAAGAGAAGAGGACAACCAGCAGGAAGATGGATGGACTCAGTTACAATGGTGATGAATGAAAACAAACAAATGGATCATCGAACAAATCAATCCAGAGTTCTCTCTGGAGGCACAAATGACGAGGCTCAAATTATCCTACTTCAGATGTATTATGCAAAGACCCTGGACTCTGAAGAGGGCTCTATTGCTGGGAAAGGTGGAAAGAAAGAGAAGAGGACAACCAGCAGGAAGATGGATGGACTCAGTTACAATGGTGATGGATGCACCATTGGAAGATCTGAAAGACAAGGTCAGGGACAGATCA